AAACTTCACACCAATGCTTCATCCTATAACGTGTACTGCTACTTCGAAGAAACCAAGTGTCATATAGCACAAAAGAAAGGATTCTGTTCAGCATGCTAGTTACAAAATCACTAGTGCAGTTTCTGTCATCTCTAATGGGTGGAAGGTTCTTTATTTAAAGTACTAAGCAGAAGCCTTGAGTGCAGTACGGGAGCACTGCTCATGTGGCTTATAAATTCAGATAAGATAATGGGGCCAGAAAGGCAAGTGCTTTGGTTTTTATTTGTAGGGTTGCCAGCCTCCACATAGGGCCCGGAGATTTCTCAGAATTACAGCTGATCTCCAGGGTACAGAGATCAGTTCCCCTGGAAAGAACGGCTGCTATGGAGGGTGGGCTGTATGGCATCATACCCCACTGAGGCACCTCCCTTCTGCAAGCCTGTTCTCCCCAGGATCTGCCCCAAAATCTCTAGGAACTTCCCAACCCAGAGTTGAGAACCCTATTTTGTGGCCCAACCCCCAGATCCTGCAACAGGCCACTTTTGAAAGCCACCACTTGCTGTGCAAGAGAGGGGCATTGGGCACTGCTTTAAAACAAACTTTGAACCCCTGCTTAGTTTGCAGAGAGGGTTAGCCTATTCACATGACCAGTAAGTACCTATGAAGAAAGTGCTTGGGAATTCAGTACCTGCACACAGCACCAGGCCTGTTTCCCAGTGATGTGCATGCATCTCCATATTATATTCAGACCCCCTCATGTGACAACAAAATTATGTTTTTGGAGGCCAAAAGCTAAGTCCTGTTCTCGGTAACATGTGCACACCATTGCCTGTACTTCAGCTGGGAGCTGGCATGCTCAGTTTCTCTGAGTGTGACGCAAAATAAAATGGAAGATAATGAAACTCTTAAGAGGCAAAGCCACAAACACCTGCAGAGAGGGTGTGGGAAATGCTCAAGCAGACTAAAGTTGTATTGCACTTTTGGCACTTGGGTAACTATTGCATAAACACAGTCCAGCTATAGTTTGGCAATGAACTGAAACATTCATGATCATGCAAAAGCAGTACAAGCCTAAGAACTGGCATCTCACAGGTTTCAGATATGGTAAGCCATATTTTAGGAAAGCCTCCTGAACAGTTTTCTTTACTGTGACACAGCCTCTCTCTCAGCTGACTCCAAAATTGCATGTTCTTGAAATAAAACCAAACCTGTTAGTGAACTCTAAAAGAAAGATTTATAGGGATACACAAGCTCTAAGAAATAAAGGTATGTGCCTTTTGTGGCTTAATCTTGCTGTTGTGCATTGAGTAATTTGAGAATGGGTTTCCATAGAGTGCACTTATAAGGTATATTCCATTGAGACTTGTTGAAAATATGTCCAGTCGGTAAGCATAAGAATGATCAAGGGTCAGGTTTGGTATATGGGGTCAAGGCTAATGTATGTGTGAGAAGTGTTATCAAGGTGCTTCCAGCTTATGGTGACCCTATGAATGAATTACCTCCGAAACATCCTATCATTAACAGGCTTGCTCGGGTCTTGCAGACAAGGCCGTGGCTTCCTCGATAGAGTCAGTCCATCTCATGTTGGGTCTTCCTCTTTTGCTGCTGCCTTCAGCTTTTCCTAGCATCATTGCCTATTCCAGTGACTCTTGACTTTGGTCATGATGTGACCAAAGTATGATAGCCTCAGTTTGGTCAGTTTAGCTTCTGGGGAGAGTTTGGGCTTGATTTGATCTCGAACATGCTTATTTGTCTTTTTGGTATCCATAAAACATTCCTTCAACCCCACATTTCAAATGAATCAACTTTCTTCCTGTCAGGTTTCTTTATTGTCTTTCACACTCATACATAGTAATGGGGAATACTTTAGTATGAATTATCTTGGTCTTCTGATCATCCTTCCACTTAAGGATCTTTTCTAGCTCTTTCATGGTTGCATTTCCCAGTCTCCTTCTGATTTCTTGGTTGCAGTCTCCCCTTTGGTTGATGATGGAGACAAGAAATAAAAAGTCTTTAATGATTTCAGCTTCTTCATTGCTGACCTGAGATGTGTACCTCATTAGTCATTAATTTTGTCTTCTTGATGTTCAGCTGTGATCCTGCTTTGGCAGTTTCCGCTTTAACCTTCATCAGTAGTCATTTCAAATCTTCACTGTTTTCTGCCAGTAATGTGGTATCATCAGCATATTTCAAACTGTTAATGTTCTTTCCACCAGTTTCCACTCCACTTTCATCTAATCCAACATTCCATATTATATATTCTGCAGATTTATTGTATATAAACAAGCAGTGCATCTTGCCCACCCCAAAAGAGAATTCTCATTGCTGAGAACAGTAACATACTGAACACAGTCCACTAAGCTAGATGCAGCGTCAGAGGCGTGTCAGTGCTAGCTGTAGTCAAGTGATGATGCAGAAGGGTACAAATAAAGAGACCATTTACCAAATCAGACCATTGATTGGTGTTAAAAACTGTGACTGACAGCAGCTCTCTAAACAGAGAATGGTCTTTCACAACATCCACTCTTTGAGATGCTTTAACTGGAAATTCACCCTGAGATTTTCTGAATGCAAAGTGTATTACCACCAAGATGCAGCCCTTTTCATGTGAATTGAGTTGGGGAAGAAAAGGCCAGAAGGCCAAAAAAGGTTTGTGGTTAGCAGCAGGAGCAGAATTCCTGAATTGATCAGACCAGTGACCAAACTTCTCCTAGAGTTCTGCAGAAGTCAGAAGAACCATTTGATCCACTTGGATGTATTGCTCTTTCATGCTGGTTTGACTGATATCCTTGCATTTCCTTCTTTGGCCAGAGCTTGGTGATAAGTATTTCACTGGCTGACAGTTCCCTGGTCCCATATTCATGTCTTGCTGAAAGCACAAGTCCTGACTATCATCTTGCCAGGAAGGCCTCATGTTCTGCCAGCTCCTTCTATGAAATGGATTCAAGCGTCCTGACATTGCCATGTAAAGTGCATCACACTGGGGTGACAGTAAATATGAAACAAAACAATGTTTCTGAATTCTAACACAGGGTAAAACAAAGAAAGTTCACAGATGCCCTCCTGCTTTAATGACCTGAAAGCCTCTATCAAACCTGCCAAGCTGCATCTGAGGTAGAATGCAAAATGCATAATTGCTGTTGAGAAACAGGTCAAGTATATTACTTATAAAAATAATCAGTCTACTGCTCACAGATCTTCAGCTTCATTAAAGAGTTGTGGAAGAATTTACAAAGGCTAAATTCTCCTACCTGAGTAGTCTGAGACCATGTCTACACTGTACAATTAAATCAGTTTCTAACAGATTGAACTGTACTCTTTCCTAAATATCTAATGTGTGTAGTTTTGTGAAAGGCATGGAAATACCCAGTCAAGATGTGTCAGCATCTTCACATAACTTTTCAGGGCACTTGGGGGAGAACACATGATAGTTTTAACTATGTGCTACGGATGTGCCCTAAAGTCTGAGACCATGTCTACACTGTACAATTAAATCAGTTTCTAACAGATTGAACTGTACTCTTTCCTAAATATCTAATGTGTGTAGTTTTGTGAAAGGCATGGAAATACCCAGTCAAGATGTGTCAGCATCTTCACATAACTTTTCAGGGCACTTGGGGGAGAACACATGATAGTTTTAACTATGTGCTACGGATGTGCCCTAAAGTCACTAGCCCAGGGGTTGTTTCGTAGAAAAAGAGCTAGGGGAGCTCATTAGCATAACTCATTAGCATATGCCACACCCCCTGACATCACCGGAAGTGTGTCATAAGGCCACACACACCACCTCCAACGGTCCCGGGAGTGCAAATAAGACTTGTGAAGGCCCTCCCTGGCCCCAGGCAGGCAGGGGTGGGGAGAGGCAGGGAGGAAGCAACTTACCCTCCCTCTTCTCCTGCTTCCTCCTGGCTGAATGAGGGCCGGAAGCGAGGCGGCTGGAAACAGGAGGCGGGGCTTTGTCATGTGCCCCGCCCCCCGTACCTCACCCGGGGGAACTGCGATCACCCGCGATCCCCCCGAAATGACCTCTGCACTAGCCCCATAGAAGCCAATGTGAGAAAGACATTTAGTCGTAGATGGATTTGATGGCATACATGCAACTTAATCCACAACACCGTGGTATAGACCATTACTGCACAGATTATCTGCCCCAGGTTCAATGGTGCCCCTACAGCTTTGTGGTACATCTGTGTATGTCCTGGTGTTTCCCCCATTTTTTCTCCAATCTTTCTTATATCTGCTTTGCTCCTAAGTTTTGGGAAAGATTGCAGTGAAGCCTGGATGGCTGCTGAATGAGTGGGAAATAGTCTTGCCAGGCCCCACATCCAGATGGGGGAATCCTGAAACAGGGACGTTGCCATGCAACGCCCCCAATACGATGATGTCACTTGGAAGTGACATCATTGTGTCAGGGATGTTGTGCAGAGACACTCTGGTATTTGGGCAAACAGTATAGTTTGAGAGTGAAAAGACCATAGAGTTTCACCCAAATACCAGAGCGTTCCCGTGTGACATCCCCAATGTGATATCACTTCTGGGTGATGTCATCACATTGGGGAAGTCACGTGATGTCCCCGCTCCCCCCCCCTGCTGGAGCAACAAGAGGACCTGGCAACTCTAGCGGGAAATTTAAGTTTAGTGCCCACACAAGCATCTTTTCCCACCAACCCTGTTCCTGCATCAGCCATATAATTCCCCCACCATTAAAGGGCCCTTTTAAAACAATCAGCACTGTAGGTTATTATTATACCAATATAAAGTTGTAATAATATGTGTAATAGGTTTTCTGAATTCCCAGCTTTTATTATTTTTAAAACAAGACTCTAGCCCTTTCCCTTGCAGAGATATAAAGGGGAAAGACATATGTTCACAACAGAATAGGACAGAAACTTACTTTTTAAAAATGAAAGCTGGGAATTCAGAGAATCTGTTATATGCATTTTTATAACAGTGCAGTGAAATAATGATATTCAATTGCTGATCTGGAACACTTGGGATAGCACCAGCAGCCCGGGGGGGGGGATGGCCACTGCTGGGGGGTGGGGTGGGAAAAATTCAGGGGAGACTTTCATGCAAAAGCCCCATTGTGCCTACACTTTACCTGCAGCTGCACCAGCAACAGGGAAACCACAGAAGCCACTTTCCTATGTGGAAATTACAAAAATATTTCATGCTCCTCCCAAAATAGAATCCAACATTTTGCTTTTAAAAAAACATTTGGAGTGTTATTTGTGTATGTGTGTGTGTGTGTAAAATAAATCCTTGCATTAATTCTCATTTAATTTATTTAAAATATGTATGTACCATCTTTCCTAGGCTCAAGGAAATAAGTAATATACTCCCCTACCTTACATTGAATGCAGGACAGGATTAATGGCATCTGACTTACTGTAATCAACCAACAGAGTACAAACTAAAAAAAAGTTGATTATAAAACTTTTAAAAATGAAGGCCCTGATTTGAAACATTTATCCATTCATATGTACCTTTGAAACATAATGGGATTTTTTTCATGCACATACTTGGAAATGGGGACTGAGAGAGGGAATATAATCACAGCAACAATTTTCTTATTCTTTGTTGGGTTGCATGAAAAGATGACGACATTCATTGATTAACAGGACTGCTCATGAGCCAATTGTGGTTTCTGTAGCTATATCAGTGTTATTTTATTTTCTCTATCACCAAATGTGTAAGGTGTGAAAGGCAGCTGGAAATCCAAAATAGTTGGTGACATGTGCTGGACAGGCTTAATTGGCTGTGTGCCTTTGGAGCATGTCTACTTTCTGTGTATCCTTTGCATATATACACTGTGCGAAACACTAGTGGATCACCAACACAACTGTGATCAAACAGTTGCTATGCAAAGTGTGAAACAATTTTTAATCTGCCGTGATAGAGCAGATAAGAAAACACTTGGAAATGTAAAAAGGGACACTAAAGATACTCCATAATCCTTCCAGTATTGTCTGCAAGACAATGCTGTGATATACCTGTGATATAATACAGGTGATATACTGTGATATACCTGTGATATAATACAGGTGATATACACTCATTCCATAGAGTACAATGTACATGGCTCTGGTGATGAAGAACTTGCTTTTCCAAATGGAAAACTGTCACTCTTCTTGCCATTGAGAGGACTGCTACAGATATAATTTGAAACTTGGAAAGGTCTATGGAGCGGGTTATAGGAATTATTTTCTTAAGTGCTATGCAGGTGATGATGCTAGTCCAAAACCACGGATGACAGCGAACCCTCCCAGTTCAAGAAGTTTGTCATTGTTACTTTATCCTGTTGTTCAGAACAGATGGTCTCATCTTATTCTGTGGAAGGGCTGCAGTGAACTTCCTTTACTGTGAAGACTTCATGTTGTTTATGAGATAATGTCAGTCTGAAACATGGGGTCTTTCACAACTTGCTCTCTTGCCAGCCGTGTGCATTCTTTCCAAATTTGTACACTAACCTCCTGTCCACTCGTTCCAAAATCCCAGTTTTGTAATAGTACCTGCAACAACAGCATTGAAATTGAAATTAAACTTTAATGTATACCATGCAATGAGCAAAGACAAAGGAAAGAAGCAAACATCAACATGACATTTGCCGTTCTTCCTGGCAAAGTGGGCACTTGCACACCTACAGTTCAAATTACTTTTCAGTGTTTAAGACTTCTCAGATAGCTTAAACTCTGATTCCCTCCCCCTTCTAAAACACTCAGCATAGGATTCTCTTTTGAAGACAACATTTCAGCGTAAGTCTGGAAGGCAAAGGAACACTTATTGCATTAAGTGTCATATTAATGGAGCAGGCAACTGATTTGTTGATGAAAGTGTTGTAATTACCACTTACTCCACCCCCAGATCACCTCCATAATGTTATAGCTAATCAAAGTAGCCATGACTGAGTTTCATTATGACCTTTGCATTATGTAACACAACCCTTTGTAACCAGTAAAACTGTGTAAAATCAGCTACCTTATGTAACACTACTTAAGGTATAAGCTTACCTAAGTGCTCTGCTTAATTTTTCATACGTCATTCTATCATTTTTCTTTCTCTGTCCCCACATCTTTGCCAGAGCATCTGATTTAACCACTCGAAAGATGCCTTTGTCCCGGTCTTCCCATTCAAGGATGCCACAGTTCTCCTCAGGAGACAGAAGGAGGTCTCTTACAAATTCCCATAAGTGAGAACTTTGTAGACCTTCATGAACAAAAGGGAGCATGTTAATAGACCTTCCTGGTGACAGGAAACTATATTATCAGGGTTCAAGTTCCTTGTCCATTCTACTGAAGAACGGACACAATCTAGCCAGTCTTAATACATTCAAGTTTCATTGATTTTGACAAGCTTGAAAACAAACTGATTTCAAATTTTTGTCAGTATTGGGATGACAATCTCACATATTCATCAACCTGAGTTTAGTGTGAAGTTTGGGTTTTTTGTTTTTGTTTTTAAAAGGCAGGGCTATTTTTGGACAGGAGTTTCTGCTGTTGGGGGTGGCCTATTATGCTAATGAGTTCCTGATGGACTTTTTCTACAAAAAAAGCTCTGAAAAAAGGTAAATACTCCTTGGCATTTGAAGGATGCTTTCCCCCTATAATTTCAGGGACCATTACTACTACTACTTTTTTTTTTAAAGCATGCAAAATAGATGGTATGGGATCAAAGTTTACTTAAATTGTTCTTATACAGTTACTGGAAGCCACTGGAAAGAATAAGATTTTAAAGAGAAAGTTCAGCAGCAATGCAAATGTCTAGCCATCTCTCAGGCGAGATTCCTCCTTCTGCTCTGTTGATACAGGGAAAAATCTTTGGATCAACAGATACCATATCATACTACATCAACATGAGGGGGGGGGGAATGAAACCCTAACATAATGAAGTTGATTTCCTTTCTGACCAATCCCTCCTTTCGCTTACAACTTATATAACATACCGGAAAATACAATAACATGTTAAGATTTCTATATGGGGAGGAAGCAGGATACTCAGTGAAATTGAGCTTCAGTGTGTACAATATCAGTGGACTTGGAATGGTATGCTATAGCCTGATCTTGTAAGATCTTGGAAGTTAAGCAGGGTCAGTATATGATGGAAGGCCACCAAGGAAGACTCTGCAGAAAAAGGTGATGGCAAACTACCTCTGCTTAATCACTTGCGTTGAAAGCCCTTTGCTGGGATTACCATAGATCTTTTTGATTTGACGGTGCATACATACATGTTAAATATCACCCTTTAAAAAAAATCTTAACAACAATAGCAATATTACCAATATTTATTTAAAGTAAATCAATTTAGGGCATTGGCTTGTTTATCTAGTACACAGGTCCATTTAATTGTTCATAACAATAGTTGTCTAGCATGTAGAACCTGTGAATTTGCTTATAAAGCTGTGTTCCTGAGTAATACAAGCCTGTTAATTAGGTTTCTTCTACAATAGAAATTGGTGTTTGTCTTGGATACCAGGAGCACCACCTGGTGGCCATGTGTTACGGCAGTGATTGCCATTAGTAAATCTTGAGTTATGTGCCATAATAAAATAATGAGGGCTATGGAGACTTAATTTAAAAGCTAACAAAGGTCATGCACACCAACTGAGGCAGCATTTTCTGTGACATTTCTAAGCACTGTCTTAAGTTGGCAGAGATATACCTACTTGTTCTATTGTGACTCTGAAATTCTTGACTCTTGACGCCGCCTGTTCTCAAACATGCCTTATCATCATCTGGAAAAGAACATTTTTTTAAAAAAAATTGACACACGTTAATATGGATCAGTTTCAGGATATGATGATAATGTGATTTAACAAGGTCAAAGTGTTTACCTAATGAAATTCCATGCAACACTACATAAAGGTGGGTCTGTGATTTATCTTAGACTAAAAATCCATTTGATCAAAAAATAAAGCACAGTGAATGATTAACCAGCAGTTGGACTGTTTAGTGGCACCAGTAGCAAAATAAGTTCACATAAGGAATAATCACTAACCGTACTTAAATTATCAAAAAAAATTGCTCTCAATTAAATCCATATGTAAGTAGTATCTCTACCTACAGAATAATATAAAGGCCATAAGCAGGAATCCAAAGAACCATATGCACAGTGTACCTTGTTTATTATTTATGTATCTAGTTCATTTATAGCCCCACCTTTCTCCCCAGTGGGGAACCAAAACAGCTTACACTGCTCTTCTCTCCACTATTTTATCTTAAGAACAACTGTGTGAGGTAAGTTAGTCTGAGAGAGTCTGAGTAGCCCAAGGTCACCCAGCCAGCTTCCATGGCACAGTGGAGATTCAAACCTGGGTCTCCTAGATCCCAAATCCTTAGTGTTGTTTTTCTTGCGCCTGACCACTTCGTGCCACATGGCAAAGCAATATCAAACAGAGGAAATCTCTCAAAGTTGTTTGCCGTATGGCACATAAGACTACAGTTTGAATGGATACATACAAACCCTTGGACACAGCTACAGAAGCTTAGTTATAGTCTTGGGTCATAGTAGAGAGTTTTGCAGAACTTTGGATAATGCCTAGTGAAAAGTACTGGAAGCGGAGGCTCATCATAGTTATTCAGCAATCATTTATAAGCTACATCGGGAACTAAAAGATAATGAAGCCAGTCCATGCCCGGTTTATATGCGTGTCACACACCACATCCAGCACACACCCACTCCCTGTGATAGGTCAACCCTCGGATCTGGGCGAATCCATAGGTGCACCCTAGGATCCACAGTGGCTATTGTCTCTTGGAACCAAGGTCTGGGTCTGTGCTAGACCACATGGCCGGGCCCATGTGGCCACGGCCATCTTCGGACCCTGATACATTACACCTAGTACAAGTTCCCATTAATGAAAACCAAATAATAACATTGCCTCGGATGTCTGAGTGGCCCAGTTGACACTTCCATTTTTCTGCTGAGAAAATAAGGACAGCCATGCTGGATCACACCAGTCATTCATCTAGTTCAGCATCCTGTTTCATACAGCGACCAACAAACAAGGCATAGGAGCCAAGGCCTCTGTTTAGTACTCTGTCTAAATACAGGTAGAACAAATGAAAAGATGAACTGTTTAAAACAGAACTGGGAATAATTCTATAAATCCAGCTTTATAAGCATACATGTGAACTGCTGTATAGGGAAATACTGTTGATTGCTTTTTTCCTAAATATGGACACTTGTTTACTTACAAAGTTTGTCAGATGACTTTGTTTCTTCATTATCATGAAAGAAGATGCCTGAAGGGGAAAATCCATAAAACTCAATGTTAATAAAATCCATAAAACTCTTTGTGTGTGTGTGTTTAGCTTTTACAACCTTAAAGGCACTGCCCTAAAAATAAAAACCTGAGTCCCTGCTTCAGAAAGGACTTTTAAAACTGCCTTTCTAAGCTAATTTTCTGGACATTTAAACTCCTCTCACTCTACTTGCCTTCAGGATCTAACAGTTTTAAATGAGTCTTTCCGGTGCGTCCCATTTTGCTTTCATTGCTCTCTAAACACCAAACTAAATGTTACAGCATCCATGGGTCTGACCTGTGGATGCCAACACTATTTCAGAGAAGAATCCAGGCATTTAAAAATGCCCTGGTGGGGGGCATACCTGGGGGAGGGGCAAGAATACCTTGTCTCACCACATATCCTATCAGGATCTGGTACTCACTGCATTTGTAATGGCCAAATTCCTCTCTAAAATGGTGTTAGTGGCCACGAGTCTGAGCCACAGGTGCCGTAATATTTAGCTTGGCCTTAATTCATCAGATATGTAAAAATGTTGACTCCTGGGAGGCTTCACATAGAATATGTGGAACATCTGATAGTGGTAGACCGGCAATTCTCTCACTAACTTCTTATTTGCCTTCTCTTTGTCCTACTTCCTCCTTATCCTTTGACAGGCCTACTCTGAAAACCTTTCCAGGCTGTCTGTCCTGTGCCCCCTGATCCCAATTTCCTGCCTTCCCTTTCCAACATCACTATTCACTCTTGCACACTAGTTTGGTATGCAATATTTGATTTTGTATTTGGACTTCCACTTTATTTTTAATTCTGTTTTTATCATGCCATCTGTGGATCAACCTGAGCTTATGCCCAAAGCTGTTCCCTGACTGCTGGTCCCTGCCAACATATTGTACGTTTCATGCTTCCAGTTTCTAAAATGGAAGGTAGTAGGACACACCTGAAAAGATTATTAGACTAATGAAAGTAAAGATCACTGCAAAATGATATCAATATTAATAATAACCATGAAAACAATCTTAACACAGAAACATGTTCTATTTCTTCTAGAACTGAGATATGAAGTAACCTTGTTGTTCATGTGTATAGATGTCCATTGTGATCCTTCTTATTGTAGTCTGCCTAAACTGTGTCCAGTGCCAGATTTAGGTCTCTGGGGCTATCAGTTCAGCGTTGTGCACAAGCATATCAACCAAACACAGAATGAGGCTGATTAAATTTATGGCACACTGACCGTGAGACTTGATGTTCTGTAGGATAAAAAACAGATATTCGCCACAAATGCCTGCTGCATTTAAAAACTCCTCTTGAGTCATGCTGCACAGCTGTTGGCCATTTATGTTAAAGTGGGAAAAGGAAATGCAGTTGGCATCCAGTTTGTATTGATCACAGCAAAACTGCAGCCATTCACAGACATTGTGCCTTGTCCAGTACTCTGGATGGGTAGAGGTCCAGGAAGAATCACAGCCTGCCAAAATGTAATGAGAAAAAAGGATAGAGTTGAACTCTGAACAGCTCGTTGTATGAACAGTTTATCATTTTCAACAACAAAATCTTCTGTAACTTATGGCCCAATCTATTCAGCTCCTGTGCAAACAAATGGGCACAGAATAGATTGGCAAAACGGGCAGACAGTGGGACAAGACTGAGATAGAAAAGGAGTGAGATTTGGGCATGAGCCTTAAGACCCTTTAGTAACCATGAAGTTTGCTAATGGTGACCTGTTCTACTGGGTTCACATCTGAAAGGGAGCAGAGATCTAGCCATGGATATTCATTGTGATAATGAATGGCTGTGTTGGCTTCTGTGAACTTCCCTAGGACACCCAAGAGGAATGGCTGTGTTGGCTATAGCATGCCCTTCTGTGAACTTCCCTAGGACACCCAAGCCACGTTTGTCAACATGAAATGTGTGGATAATAAATGTGTGGCAGGGAATACATTTTTGCAGTGAGTTGTGCAGAAGTCCCAGTCAATACATCATCCCACTTCCCATTCTGCGTGTCAATTCATTCACACTTTTCATGTTATCTAAATACAATTGTAGCTGGTCTGTGTTGGCAATGCAATGTTTGACGAGGCAGTTTGGTGTCGTGGTTAAGTGCGCGGACTCTAATCTGGGAGAACCGGGTTTGATTCCCCACTCCTCCACTTGCACCTGGCTGGATGACCTTGGGCAAGCCGTAGTTCTGATAAGAGCTGTTCTTGAAAAAGAGCAGTTTCTGTCAGAGCTCTCTCAGCCCCACCTACCTCACAGGGTGTCTGTTGTGGGGAGGGGAAGGGAAAGGGAAAGGAGTTTGTAAGCAGCTCTGAGACACCTTTGGGTAGTGAAGGGTGGGGTATAAATCCAATCTCCTCCTCCTCCTCCTCCTCCTCCTCCTCTTCTTCTTCTTACCCCCACTTATCAAAATGGACATTTTAGTGGGCAATTTGGACCTTCTTTCTTTAGAACTCTGTTTTTTCTGACAAGTAACATGAGCGTCATGGTTTCTACTTCACTGTTGGATGCATGAAGTGGACTTGTTCCTCTGCATCATCTATATCTCTCCCTTAACTGCAGTACCATAAGATAAAATTAACTGCTTTTCTGATGTCCTAGTTAGGAATGTACAGTAAGTAACCTTGACATACTTTAACATTCACTAGAAGAAGATAGGTATCAGCTTTGCTGGCAATAAAAATTCTAAGTCATGTTCCCTCATTGCACAGAACAATTCCTGCAAGGGCTAATTTAGTTTCCTTCACTTTTGCTCCTAAAAAGAATAAAGATCAGATTATTTTTGAAAGTCAGAAGAAAGCCCTGCTAGATGTAATTGTGTACATGACTGGTTTGTATAATTTTTTTAACATGATGTCTGGTAGTTCAGTCCATTTTCATTTTATTTTACATTAAAACTTTCAGTAATCTGAGAACTCACTGTTTTGAAGAGAAAAAACACCTTTGAGTATTCTTTGTGTTTGTGCATATGTATGTGTGTGTGTGCATATATATGTGTATACATGGATTCCCAGAAGCAGCTTTAGATCGTCATTTGTGAGAAAGTAGAAACCAAGACAGAGTTTTATTGCATTAATTAAGGAAAGCTGGCAAGAAAAGACAGAGATGAGTTATAAGCAAAACATTAAGAACTGGAGGGGAGGGGGAGGCTTCATGTACACTAATTACAGAGTATCAGAAAACCTGCTGGGAGTTCTGGGAATTCAGCTCCTTTTTTGATGGTAGAAATGTAAATAAAAAGGCTAGGTATATGTTTCGGTATGGAATTTGGAACTAAATATAAGAACAAATATGTTGTTCTATAATCCTAGGACTTGGCAGGGCAAAGGGATGGAAGACTTCTCTAAAAGAAAGACTGATCAATAAGACTAATAAGAACTTTAACCTATTGCTCATTGGGCTGGGGAGCCTTAGCCAGCTTTTTCCATACAGCACCAGTCTATACCAGCAACTTTTCTTGTATTAGTATTTTTAATTAGTTTAATTGATTAATGGAGATTATATGAGTCCAAGCCATCTTGTACAGTATCTGGAAATGTAGGGTATAAATATTTTCAAACACAAACATACAGTCAGTGATTTTAATTGCATTCATTTTATAATAATCATTGGTCATGAGCTACCTCATAAGCACCAGCTATTTTTAAATATACAAATGACCACATCAGTCCTGGCAGACAACAACTCCTATTCAGGCTGAAATAGGTTTTTGCAGCTGCTTGGAGGTCAGGAAAGAAAAAGGTAAGTCTTGTGACTCAGTCTTTCACTGCTGCTACCATCTAGCTGCTTCAAAAGTGGAACATGCTTAAAGTGTTTGTGTTTGTAAAGTGTTTCCAAGTCACATCTGACTTATGGCAACCCCATAGGGGTTTCAAGGCAAGAGACTCACAGAGATGGTTTGCTACTAGCTTTCTCTGCATAGTGACCCTGGAACTCCTTTTCGGTCTCCCATCCAAATACTAACCAGGGCCAACCTGCCATGGCTTCTGGGATCTGACAGGATCAAGCTGACCTGGGCCATCCAAGTCAAGGGCTTAAATTACTCTACATCATCTTAATTCCAGGAACTGGAGTCATGAATTGACAAGACAGACCTTTCTACAAACCTGAGAAAAGCCTCAGGTTTTCAGAAAAATCTGAAATCTAATAAAGGTACATGGGGAGGGGCTGAAACTCCCCAAAAGAATAGCAATAGAAACTACAGCTTTAAGAAACTAGCCATGGCTAGGCAAACACACAGTACTGACAGCCTTCAAGCTTTGGTTTCTGTTAATAAAAGGCAGGGGAAGGGAGCAGGGCCCTTTCTAGGACTGTGCTGGCTTTTGAGGGAGGACACGGTGAGACCTTTGAAGACCCTGGCAGCAACCACCAGGCAACTTGATACCATGCAACTTGCCCAATGACTTGCCGAGGCTTGGATGCTTGCTATTAGCAGCCACACCATGAAAGCCAGTGTGGTACAGTGGTTAGAGTTTCAGACTAGGATCTGGGAGACCCAGGTTTAAATCCCCACTCTGCCAGATATGGGTGACCTTCAGCTAGTTATGTACTTTTAGTCTACCCTACTTCACTGCATTGTTGTTGAGCATAAAATGGAGGGGAAGAGGAAGATGTAAGCTGCTTTGGGTCCCCATTCTGGAGAAAGGCAGGATATAAATGAAATAATAAATATAGCTGAAGATGGAAGGCAGATAAAGATAGGTTGGCTGGTGGGTGGGAAGGAGAGAGGCTATCAGGGCTCTTGGAGAAGAGAAACAGAAAATAGTGTGGGAGGGGAAATTAGATGCCCACCGCAAATATTTGTGGATGCCCCACTTGGCCACTTCCATTGCAAAGGAAACAGTGATGAGCTCTTCGTTCTATGTACCAATTGTGTTTTTCTGGGTACACTGATCTCTCTTGTAGCAAAACTATAATTATGAATTACATATCTATGTCCTTAAACACTTGTGAACAAATATCTTATTGTGCTGAAACTCCCCAGTGCTGTCCCACATCATCACAAGGAGATCCACGTCATTTACCCTTGACGTATTTGAGTTAAAGCAGGGAGCACAGCTATGATTGCTGTTTCAAGTGTCCAGCTTCTCTGAATTTTCATTCATAAATACATTTCTGCCATTGTGGAATCACAAGCAAGGACAGAGTTAATATTTAAGTGTTTTAATTTAAAGCTATCCAAATTACATGTTATTTACTTGTAGATTTATACCTTGATTCTCAAACAAAAATGGGTTTCTCTGGTAACGAAAAGCACAATTAAGAACAACTATATCACAATACTAGAAAAGCCATTCAAGTAAAAAGCACTACACAGACAGGAATAAAATCTAGCTGCAAACAGCAGGACAATTTTAAAACTTAGCAGCACTGATAAAAATGGTGAAATAAAATCAAATCCAACATACAGAAGGCGAAGAAAATCAGTTAATCTAAATTAACATCTTCAGATCCATCTGGAAATCTGGATGTAACAGCATGAACAAGCTGTGAATTTGCCCCTTCAGAGGAAATGTGATCCCATATGGAACAGGCTAAACCTTGTTCTTGGACTGGCATCTTTACTTTTTTTAAAAAGTAGTTTATTCATCATTTTTCATTACAAAAAGAAAACCAAACCATAAGCTTTCATATATTATGGAGTTAACATTGCCATTTCCCCCCCATCCATCTATCTACCTTTTGCCATCTTTTTTGATGCACTTTTTCTTCTTTCCCTGCTAGTACCACATTTAATTTATCCATTTCTTTTATTTCCATAATTTTTATAGTTAATTCTTCTCTATTTGGTGTTTTATCTGATTTCCAGAATTTTGCTGTTAGTATTCTAGAAATCGTAAGGATATATAGTATCAAACATAAATCATTATAATTGATCCCATCTGGTAACATATTTAGCAAATATACTTCCGGTTCTAACTTCAGATCTATTTCAGTTATTTCTAATATTACTTGCTTTATGGTTTTCCAAAGTTTGCATATCTTTTCGCATCTCCACCATACATGATAATATGTCCCAATATTTTTATTACATTTTTATTACATTGGCATCTTTACTGACAAAGCATCTCCATTTTATCTAGACTGAGCTTCAGTTTATTAATTTATGGCAGTTACATCTCTGTAAAGGAGAACAAGAAGCATGCGGTATGTGAATGAATTCTGCTGGTGTAAATCTTCCTCATCTTAGAACAATTTCAAAGCCTTTTGTTGTTCAGGTCTGAGTTCTAATGTTACATGTAACTTGGCAAAACAAAGCGTTTCTATTTCCAACAGCATCCATTAAGAAATAAACAATGAGCCAGTAAAAAATAGCAATAAAGACACATTTAAAAAATAGTACAATTAGGGGTGTGCAGGAAAAAATAGTTTTTTTCCTGGATTTGGGTATAATAAAGCCAGATTTTTTTGGCATTCCCAAATATACCCAAATACCAATACCAGTATTCTATTGGTACCCGAAAATTTTCA